AAAGTGACGTCGGGCAATACTGATCAAGTCTAAGGAGTGCATCGATCTAGTATGAAACTTGTGGAATATCCGAAAGTAGTAGTGGTCAGACGTGGGTTGGACCAATCTCCGTAAAGGATCTCGGGTGGTCCTAAGCTCTCGAAAGAGTAGAGCTTTTCAGTACATAGAGCATAGTGTACTTCTATGGCAAGATCATCACTGGTGTGATCGCCATTCCGAAGTTCCTAACGTTCCCTCTCTTACTGGTAGTGTAGTCCTTCAGGTTGGTTCTTAGGAAGCTCGGGTTGTCTTTGGTTTCGCGTTTCCTGTCAACTGGTTGTTATAGGATTTTTAGATCGTCGAATGGGTTGCGTGACTCTGGTTATCTGTTTGCTGTAAAGTGTCTATCTCAAGCTTGTGCAAAATGAATCCGCACTTCTGATGCTTGAGGTATTTCTATCGGAAAGCCTCAGGGTCGGGGAGATAGGGTTTCACCAGACGAGTGTTGGACTATCTCGGGAGGTGGTTCTACTATTTCTGCATGAGATAGTATTCGTGGAACACCCAACAGTCCGATGAATCTCTAAGACTTTGGTTTATTCTAGTGCAGAAAACACATGCTCCTGCATAACCCCTCGACTAACACCAAGGCTGGTGTCAAGTCTATAATCTCTTCAGGATCTGGGTCATGAGGCTTGATGCGACTACTTTCTCACTTTGATCATGTATTCTTGGCTGCGGAGGTTATCCTGTGGTTCTCGGTATCCTAGTGTTCACTTCGGAGAATGTAATCTATCGTCTACAGGGCGACGATGACTTCCTCCATGCGAGAGGGCGGAGGATCCTAGGCACCAGTTGTCTATAACGGGGTGGACGAAGTGCATGAGTAGTGCGAACACTTTCTGCAACTACTCTTCTGAAGGTTCTGAGTTTTCTCGGTCTAGGTCAAACCTAGTGAGTATAGGGTTCCATCACTCGGAACTTTAATTTCCTCATCCATTCTTTTCAGAGTTTAACTCATCGCAGCTTTCGTATTTCTGAGCTATCTACTGCGATGCTTAATTCGGGGGATTAAGCATGAATGGGTGGTCATAGTCAATGTCCTTGACTCTCACGACTCAGATTTCTTTATCAACCGAGGGTGTTAGCTACTATGTTGGCTTGACTGGAATGACAACAAACTTCGGATCTGTGATCATTATAGTAGTTCAATCCGTAGGGGTTCTCTTGATTCTAGCTCTCGTTCTATGGGATAGGATGAAGGGTCTTTCTAGGGAATCTATGAGGTATGCTTCGGGTGGTTATTGTCTTCTGGAGTGTCTGTAGTATCTTTCGCTTCGGTTTCCATATGACTAAGAGGGGTCGGTCAACAGCGTGCGGTACCCTTCTCTTGGGTACTTCGGAAGGTTTGAGGTAAGAGGGACGACTGACGGATCGCATTAGGTTTGATTATTTGTATTATGTTTTAGGTTCAGAAGAACTTTTATTCCCCGACATGGCTACGAAGAAAGTTCTTTTTACACAACACTAGGGGTTTACACATGGTTGCACTACGTCAAACCATGATCGATAGGGTCGTCGAAGTTGGCACACTTCGACATGATATAAGACGAGGATCGATAGAGTCTTGCGCCGAACAGGCACACAAGTTCTAGGCGTCTCGGGTTTCGTCCTTTGTATCACTGTCGCGGATACTTGGACCGATAGAGTCGATGCGAAACTATAGAGAGTCCTAAGTGTTTCTGAGTAGAGTACCTTTTTATGAATGGATTCTCACGAGGCATTTCTATAATTGCCTCACATATACTAGTCATGCATAATTAAGATGGGGACGACTGTTGACTGAGTGACTCCATCTTAAATCCACAACCAAACGAGGAACAGGAAATGAGGCGACATTCACTTACTCTAGGTCTATCCATCTCAATTATACATGGCCGTAACGTATATGTTTAGCCATTATAGTTTTACCTGATGAATTTTAAATTTTATAACAGTGCTGTGACTTTCGCTTTAATGGGAAATATCTACATTTTGAATTAGTCTTTTAATGTTTTCGGTTTAGTTGTCTGAGATTAAGAGAGGTACCAAAATCTACCGGTTTCCTTGATGCTTCTCCCTAAGCATTATAGTTAGACTCCTCTTGTGTCCTTGTCCTTTCCTTCAGTTGGGCAGTCCTTCTTGAAGTGTCCAATCTCACCACATAGACGACAAACTGGATTGGCCGCCAAATTGGTGGTTGATGTAATGAACTCAACCGGGGTTCTGCAGACGCGAGCAGTATGCCCCAACATGTGGCATCTAGCACAATAGAGTTCCCGACATATACCATGATGATGGTAGCTACACTTGCTGTAGTGGGGAAGGTTTCCTAGGTATAGTCTTCTTGAAGTAGGGATGGAAGAGTTGGCAGGAATATTGACTGTCTCAGCTCGTTGCCCTTCGGAAGGTCCTTAAGCCGAGGTATCTCCCTCCTTGATCTTGATCTTTCTCTTCCGTGGATTTGAGTGAAGTTCTTGGGTGGCTGGGTATGCAGAGGTTGGTTTTTACTGTCCACTACTAGGATCGGAACTTCCGATAGGGCTCTTGCTAACATTGGCGTTGTTAGCATTCAGGTGAGCCATGACAGCTGCTACGGCTGCCGAGACTGCAGCTTGGAACGTAGCTTCATCAAATAAGAAAGTAGGTTTCTTGCTTGTGGACTGGTTACGCTTCTTTGGAGGCATGGTTTTCCTACACGCAAAGGAACACAAGATAATGAGAGACGATTGCTCACCCCGGACATATCTGTCCTTACTGTATTAGGCATAAATTTTCCTGTGCCTCGGGTACCGGTTGTCTGAGTGTCGACCTACATCCCTATGATGTAGTCCTGGTGTACATGGTAAGAGTGTGGGTATCAGAAAGGCCATAAGATGCGAGTCGTTCCTACTAAGTTACCTTTATACTGGGAAAGGTTTAACTCTCCGGCCTAGAGAGATTTGAGAACAATTCGGAACGAAACCGCGGAAAGAGAGGCTCATGAAGACTTATGGCTAAACAACCTCAACAGAGGTGTGGGGATCCGCTCTAAGCGTATCACTGGCAACGGGAACAAGGCGATTTAGCTAACACATAACGTGAGTAGTGTAACCACTAACTCACTAAATTGTATTATTTTAGGAGTGTATTAGCGTGACGAACACGAGGAAAAGACATTTCTCGGGTTCCATGTACTGGCTCCCTCTGTCTACCTCATATTCTTTACTTGGACCGGCGTTGGTTTCCTTCGGGTAGTTACCTAGGGTTCTCTTCTCGTATGGATATATTGAATTTTTACTCTGCCTTACTTCCGAATCTGACTCTGGGTGTCATCACTTCATGATGGATGACTGGAAATCTCGGAAGTTTAGGCGAATCTCTCACCAATGTCCTTAAAAGATATAGACACTTGGTGATTTCAATAGTCCCACTACAAGAAAATAGCCCTTTAATGACGCGCAAACAATGACACTCGCTGATAGACGACGCGCATTTGTAAGTGCCCTAAAAGATAATGTCAGTTTTGCAAAATTTGAAGGATAGAGAGCACGCATTTTTGCGCGCCCTAAAATTAGTGTCAGAAAAGAAAAAAAAAATGCGGAGGGCACCTTTCATAAAATGTGCGTCATGTGAATGTGTCACTTTATAATTTTAAGTGAAACATGCGTTTTAGGCGGGAAATGAAATCGACGAAAATTACCCCCGCCTATTGAATCCCAAAATTAATCCCCCCGCCTCTTCTACTTAGCAAGAAAAAGCCCTAGGTCCGTCATCTTCATCTTCAGTATCATCAAACATCTCGTTCATCGGATCTCTACTTGATCTCCTTCTTATCAGTATCACCAAACATCTCATTCACCACCTCCGCCCTATCAACATTCCCTTAATTTCAATTTGATGCAGGTAATACACGAACAACTGTAAGTCTCTCTCTCTCTCTCTCTATCTCTCTCTCTCTACCCCTACTGTTCAACAACAACCTAGACACCCACCACCCCTCGTCTTCTCTCTGGTTCACCACGACCACCAATGAAGCCCCATTGTTTTATCCAAAATGGGCCCAAAATCATGAACATAATCAAGACCTCTTGGAATGAAAATCTTCCCGCCCAAATAGTTCTATTGCCGACGTATCGTAGCCATTTATAAGTCGATTTCCTTACCCCAGTATCCCCCAATCGCAAACGAATCAAACCCTAACCCTAGATTTTTTGCTAACTAGGTATGTTTTCTTCCTCTTTTTCCTCGATGTCGACTCTAATTTTTTTCATTTACAACCATTTTCGCTTCGATTTTTGACCTAGTTTGTTGTTTCGGTTGTTTCATCCAGGATCAAAAGATGAAAGGAAGCAAATCAAGCGGTGCTACGAGGAAAGCCGATACCATGTACGATTTAATCTAACTATGTTTAAAACATACCATCTGCTAGGGTTTAATGTTGTATTTTTTTTCGTCTTCAATGAAATTAGGTTTTTGTTCTTCCTCAGGATCATGATTTCGGTACTTTTTAACAATTGTTTGTTGTAATTTTAGGTTGGCTGTAAAGAAGACTGCAGCCAAGGGGAAAGCAGCTAAGGATCCCAATAAACCCAAGAGACCCGCTAGCGCCTTCTTTGTGTTCATGTTAGTAGCTGTTCTTCGTTTATCACTACCTCCATGTTTTACTTCCATTTCCAAAGTTTAAATATTTTTCCTCTTGTTAATGTTATAAAGGGAGGACTTTAGAAAGCAGTTCAAAGAAGATCACCCTGACAACAAATCTGTTGCTGCTGTAAGTGATCTTCCTTTTTGCCTTTTGTCATCGAAACTTCTTAAGCTTTGTTTCAAGTATTCTGTATCTAGATTGAGTTGAGTTTGTGTTTTTAGATTTTGATTTGGATTTCACTTGTGTATAATTATCAGGTTGGTAAAGCTGGTGGGGCAAAATGGAAGTTAAAACTATACTAGTGCTCTCTTTCCTTGGTTTTCATACTTATTATTATGATCCAGTTTCACTGAGCATGGTCGAACAAGCTGCAAAGCCACTTGCAAGGCCTGTAAGAGTAAGGCCCTGTTTTGTTTCTTGTCATTAAGTGATGTCTGGATAAATAATATTATAAGATGTTGTTATTATTTTTTAAGGTTTGGGTTTTAGATGCTACACCTGGAAAGGTACGTGCAGGTAGAGACGGAGATGATCATCCTGCTGAATTGATCATTTCTCTAAGAGCATTGCCTAACCAGGTGTGTTTTGTGTTGCATAAATAGTAACGACTTTTTTTTTGGTTATTTTATAAATATCTAACTATATATTGTGCCATGATCTCACGTATTCACTTTCATATGCAATCTTGATGTATCTCATATACATGATTCTTGTTAAACTTTTACAATCTTAATTTTTCTATTATCTTTTTTCAAGGAAGGTCACATCAAAAATGGAGGTCATCAGTGGTCTTGTGCGTGAGGGGTTTTTGAATGATGTGGCTCAGGTAAATCCTTTTTTTATAAGATAAATAATAAATCTATTTTCATTTTCATTTACTATTTTTCTTTCTCATTGTAGAGGGACCTGGGCTCACAGTTGGTGGCCAGTATATTTGAACTCGTTTGCAATCCTTTTCTGCTTTCCGCCAGTGGGGTGATTCTGAACAGGTATCTAACATTCAATATCAACATATTTTAATTAAAAAAACTTAATTTTTTTGATGATGAAATTAAAGAATTTGCAATCACATCACCAGATCGAAGAATATGTATATTTTGGTATAGAACTAGTAAACTAAGACGTGTCTATGATGAATCACTTGAGGTAAGTAAATTTACTCTTTTACCCTCAGTTTCATGACATTTAAACGTATATATCCTTAACTATTATGAAGATTTAACCTAACTTTGGTTTGTTTAGAATGCTCAAGATCTTCAAAGAAGCGATGTTCCTTTGTATCGATTAGAAGCTATTAATTTTGGGAGAAGAATGGCAGTTGAAAGAGAAATTGAAAAAACAGAAAATGTCCCACAGCCAAATGCACTATTTGATGAAAGCTCTAATTTCATTATTTATCCAACTCTCCTTGGTATTAAAGTAAGAAATTTTACCTTGTGCCATTTTGTTTTTCTCAAATTCTAAGGTGTATGCAGTAATCCGAAGATTTTATTTTCTAATGTTTTATTCATAAATTGGTGATAGATTGTAAATCTGCAAGCAAACAAAGTTTCCAGAATATTAGGGAAGGTGGAAAATAATGACAGGTTTTTAAGAATTGCTTTGTATCAAGGTGATCAAAGCAGTAAAAAAGTGCGAAAAATTCCTGCTGCTGCTGTAAATGTGAATGAAAGCAAAGATCCCATGACAGATCCTACTTTGTTATGCTGTGCTTTTAAGAAACACAGAATCTATTTGTTCAGGTATATATATATATATATATATATATATATATATATATATATATATATATATATATATATTATTTTGTGTAAAAGTAAAATCATATATTTATGATTGTTCATATGTTATAAAAATAAAAATAGCCGAAGAGAACCAGAGGAACCTGATGATGCAACCAAGGGTAGGGATGTCTTTAAGGAAAAGCCTCCTCCTGATGAACTTATGGCTGCATCAGATATTGGAAAGTCTGTTACAACATCTCTTCCAGAAAATGTGGTAAGTAGCCTACTTTTTGCTTTCAAAATGATTTATTTGATTTTAATAAATAATAATTAATATCCTTGATGATATATATATATTTACCATATTATGCACACAACATTTCACATATTATTTTTTTGTTTTTTGTATGCCAAGATTCAATTTTTAATATTTTTTTATACCTTGGCAAGATTTATTGACTTTCCAACTCTGTTACAACATAAGGAGTGTTGCCTTTCTAGACTGAATAGACCATCTAAATGAGACTAAATGACCATTAAAAATGCTAAAAATGAAAAAAAATACGAGTTATAAACTAACCTTTGGAACATGGATGAAAACCATCCTTTCTTCTTTGAATCTACTTTCTTATTTGTCTCTGCTTCATCATCATCTGTGCATCATTCCTCTGATTTTTGTTTATTCAACTACATTTATAAAGATCTTGTCATATTTTTTTATGTTTTTTTTACTTTTCAGCTCTAGTGGAAGCTCTGTCTGCATTTGTTCTTGTTGTTCTGTTTTTTGGTTTAAAAATTTGGAACTGCAAGAGCGAGCTTTTTGTTCTCACCTATTATGGGTGCATGGACATTGACTACTCCTTTTATTGGAATTTACAACATCATATATCATTACCCTTCTATTTTCAAGGCAATATCTCCACATTATATCTATCAATTCTTCTCAAGGAATGGCCATGAGGGATGGTTGTTGCTTAATGGTATGGTCCTTTGCATAACAGGTAAGAGCTTTCTTCTTTTTTTTTTTTTTTTCTTTTTTTAATTTTTTTCTGTTAAATTTCTGGATGGATAAATGATATCTGTCTCTTGAAAGTAATGAATGAACATATAGACTGGTTATTTATTGAGTAAATGACCATTTTACCCTTCTACCTAGAAGTGATGCTGAATAGAGGTTAAGTGTTTTTGAATTGAAGTTTTAAATGATAAAAATTACTATTTTTTTTGTTGACAAAACTACAAAATTGGTTTTGGTCCCTGAAAGATTTGAAATGACTGTTTTGCCCTTTTAATTTATTTTTTTATGTTTTTTCATATTTGTTTTAATATTTTATTAATTAAAAGTAAAAGGGAAAAATAGTCATTTCAACTTTCTTAGGACCAAAACCATAGGAATTTCTTGATTTTAGAACAAATCAATAAGAGTATGTTACTATTTTTTGCATTTAACTCTCTAAATAAATGATTATTTATTTTTTAGATAGTGTTTTACCTCCTCAAGTTTTGATCATTAATTTGATTGCTAAGTGTGCTCATAAGGGCACAGAAGTTAGCTTATAGTTCTCTTTCTGCTTTTCTACTCTTTTAATCCCAATCTGTCCTAACTATTTCTCTACGCCTGTTCATACTACTTCTTAAGGTATGGGCAATTGCAGATTCTAGACGACAAGGCTTTCTTGGCTTCAAAGAGTTTATTACTACAATGCAGTTAGTTTTTTAGCTTTATCTTCTTTCTCTTCTATCCACCATTTCTGTATACATGACCCTTTTCGGTGTGTGTGGTGATTGTAGTTGATTTCTATGGCACAAGTAGGACACACATTAAGTAGCGACCTCTTAAATTCTGATGGTAAGCTGTGTAACCACATCATCTTTTCTTTACACTTTTAACATGTAAATATGTAATATTTTAACCTTTGATTACCTTTCTTGTGTTCATGTTATCTTACAATGCAGTTGATTATGAAAATTTGAAACCACCTGTTATGGATAGTCTGGATGTCTTACTAGCTGTATGTATACCTTTCTCTCACCTCAGCTATATGCATGCCACTATGAGCCTAAAAACTAAATATATTTCTTGAAAGTTAACATGTTTGTTAATGTATGCAGAAGAAAAAGCGTCCAAAAAGTGATCCTTAAACTAACGGTAGTCCTGCAGTTGAAATAGAAAACTCAGATCCTGATGTTATGGGGCCTCAAAAGGTTTATAACATTTATTGTGTTCATTATTTAAAGACATCATTTAAGCTTCATTTATATAAAGAATTAAAGATACATTTGATTATAATCAAGATTAAGGGAGACTTGTAATCATGTTTGGCATTCCTTTCCAGTAAGAAACAGAGTTGTATGATTATTTGTTAGTTTTATAGGAATGTATAACACATGTTAGCAATGTATTATTTTTGTTTAACATTTGAATGATTCTTTGTATGACATTATAATTTGTGCAATTTATTTTATATTATGCAATGGATTGTATTTTTTGTATATGGTATTTTATTTCTATTATAAGAAATTAAATGAAAATTTAATTTAAAAATTAATAAATATATAAATTTATTTTTTTTAAACATTTAAATTTACGATACGCAAAAATGTATGTCATCTTCATTTATGACATGGCCTTTCTTGACAGGGGCTTTGTTGATACGCATTGCGTGTCATTAACACGTGCGTCGTAAGGTTACGACACACGAATGCATGTTGTCTTCCTTTATGACAGGGCCTTCCTTGATACGCATTGCGTGTCGTAACCGCGCGTCGTAAATGCGCGTCGTCTATAGACGACGCATAAAAGCGCGTCGTCTCTCTTTATGACAGGGCCTTCCTTTACACGCATTTGCGCGTCGTCTGAGCGTTTTACGACGTGCAATGAGCGTCGTAAAAGGCCTTTTTTCTAGTAGTGTCCAGACCCAGTTCATTTATTTCCGAACGAGAAATCTTCGCAATGAACTTCTTCGGGGTCGGAATCAACTCTTCTGTCAAGCACTGAAGTGGATATGGTTTTCTACAGGGATCGTGCAAAAACGGAAATGTCTAAAGAATCCTAGGAGATTATTAACATTTCACTATGTGATCCATATCGAGTCCTGCTACGATTACACGGAGTATACAAATCATATATAACTTAGATCCGATAGGCCTCCGAATATGTGATACTACTCTAGGTCCACATCCCAACAAGGAAAAGGAAATAGGGCGAAACCACACATTCTTAGCCTATGGGATCCTTATTATATATAACTTTGGGAGTATACTCTCTGTACTTGTAGGTATATCAATAAGGATCTTTTTAGTTCTTCACACAAGGTTAGTTATGGATCCTAAAATACCCCTATGGTATTTTAATTCTTGTTTGTTTCTTATCTTCTTAATATGATCCTAGGATTAGTGGGAATCTTTTAGTGTTCCAAAAATACTCCTATAGTATTTAACTTTATGTTTGGCTCTAGCATTCCTAGTTGGTAAGTTTCAGACTCGTTGCAACACTACTATCACTCCCAAGCACACGTTCATCGCATCTCGAATAAATGTAGTTGATCAGGTTACATTTATTCCAGCGTACGATTACATAACTGCCCAGGTTTGACAGTAATGCTCAACATCCGAGGACTTTTATTCTTGTTCTTCTTGTGATACTTGTGTTCAAGTGTTTAGATTCTGGATGTTCTTATACTTTGGTAAAATATGGTTATATTTTAAAGTATAATTCTTGGTCATAGTGTTTTATCCCTTTTGTATTTATAGGCTGTATATCTTTTATGAATTGATATACTTAGCTCACTATAAACAATGCTCTGATATCAATCTGTCACACCCCAAAACCGGAAAGATGGAAACATTCTGGGGTGGATGACGTCATGTCAAGTATCACAACACATGCATTATAGTAATCAAAGTACAACAAAACATTGCATTAATAGTAATAGTTTTACATAGTTTACATTACAATATATCCGAGTAATACAAGCAAATATAATAAATATAGCATGGTACTAAGCTATCTTCATCAACAGCTCCGGGGATGTACCTGTCTAATGCTGACCTAAGAATACAAGTTAATTGAAAAGCGAGTATCAACATTTCTACAAATGATGGTGAGTTCATATGTATTTAGGTTCATTTTATGCAAAAACTTTATGTAAGTTGTAGTTTTCAAGTATACAGTGAAATAGAGTCCTTTCCAGAAAATCCTATATTTTCTTTAATAAAAGCAGTCTTCTCTCCCAAGCGAAGCTCGTTCAGAACGAACCGAACCCTAAGATGCTCCGGACATGAACACGTGTAGAAGCATCCATCAATATCAGTAATCCATCTCATCGCAACGATCGGATCCTATGTCCCATAAAAATTTGGTGGCTTCGTGTTGCTGAACTCTCAAAACAACAACGAGTGACCTCCCTGGGGCCTGGCAGTAGCCACAGCTGTGGTAGCTACAGCAGTCGCAGCCTCAGTCACCGCGGCGTACCGCTCATCGAAAGTCTCAATCAGTATGGTCTTGATAGACTCAAACATCTCCGGAATCTCGGCTCGGATCGCTGCTTCCACCTCATCGTGGATCATCTGACGAAGCTCCTCGTTACTCACACCGCTCGCCTCAGGTATGTTGCGTGTCCCAACCGTGATGTCTCTTAAATACAACATAATAATATCAGAGACTCGCTCGAGCATGCTCATACTCTATAACTCAACCCTACTTGTTCCTTAGTACCCAAAGGATTCTTACTTAGAGTGTGCACTGCTCTGGTGTCTTCAATAGTATGGGCCCTATACTACCATCCACACCGCATCAGTATTCACCCTAAGTCCTCCTCCTTGGATCCCAGATCGCAAGTACTCTATATCTTACTAGCATAGGCTACCCTTCGGTAGACTTCTCATCAGATACTCACTGCTACCTATTAGCTCTCAAGCATCACATAGCAACAAAATCCTTCTTAGGCTAAGGCATCACAAGAATCAGGCCACTCTAGTCCTAATATGAACACCTAGCCAACTCTAGCATGCATATCATATCATAACATATCTCATAACACATAACGTAAGGGTATTTTGGAAAATCACCGTTCGGGTGTTGGCTGATCGTACACACTGCTCCTTTCTGTCTTTCTCAAAACCTTTCACTCTTTTAAAAAAATGTTTATTTTATGAAAAAAAAGTTTGGGTGCTGGCTACTCTAGTCCTAATATGAATACCTAGCCACCTTTGCATCATCACCTCCAGCCTTCGAACCTTCACTCTTCCTTTCTCCCCTTTGCACCCCTGTAGAATTAGGTGGGGCATTTGATGTGGGGAGAAGGTTGGATATGCGAGAAAGAGGAGCCAACTGTTGGAGAAAAAGTGCTTCGAATTGAGAAAATTTCTGGAACAGATCTTCCGAAGATAGTTGAGAAGACGAAGCAGGTTTAGAAGATAAGGCTGGTTTTTTTGCCCCAATGGAATAGTAAATGTCGGAACACTTTGTATGGAAGTAAGGCTCTTTTACTTTAGGGTTTCAAAGTAAAGTCATTTGCCAGATTTTTGAAATCATCAGCCTGAGTTGGTATTACTCAGAACCTCAAGGATTTCGTGTGTGTAGTGTTTCAAAGAATATAGATGAGAAGCAAGAATTTTTTTTTTTTTTTTTTTTTTTTGGATATTCATTGACGTCAAAAATTCAATTTCACACGAAGGCAGTTAAAACCCCGGGCCAAGATTTCTTCGTTAATTATCAAGAGAGATAATCAACAGCTTGTGTATGTTCCTGTGACTTACAATCGAATACTTGTAAAGAAGTATCGAAGGTCTTCTTTTTAAAAGGCTTTTGAGGTGGCTTAATGAGTTTCGTTATATATCAACCTAAACATAAGGTGAGTAAGTGTAGTAGAAATTACTTGTTTGACCAGTGTAGTTAGTGACAAGTTTGCTTTGAAAAACTTTTTACTGACATTGAATTTCGGATAAAACTCACACTGAAATCATATTAAAAAAAATTGTGTATTGGATCTTTTTGGGTAACAAACATCGTAGGTATCGAATGTTTGATCAAGACCACTCATAAGAAATGAATATGATTTGGAGTTTCAAATGTAGGTACAGAAACAAATGTTTCATTTAAAGCCTGGAACATAATTCCCCATCAATTCCTTAAATGTTGAGAGATATGGGTTTCACTTTCATCACGGTCTCATGATGTCTGATCATAAACACAGATCTGTGATATATCTAAGTTTCGATTGGTTTATTCAGAAACCTCTTGGACATATGTCTTCGTGTGTGTGTGATAGTGTAAGAATTTTGAGATGAAAAAGATTCGTATAAGAAACAACATGTACCTCTGTTAATTTTGGACCAAACAGATAACTCTTAACTCATTTGAGAAGAGTAAGGTACCTCATTGGACTAATGCAAATGTAAGCCTAATTGGGAAGAAATCTTCGTATGAAAAATTCATTAAGGCTTTCGAACATTGAGTCAATTAGAGGCTTTGGACAACATGCTCCAGCATGCTTCTAGGGACATCTTAACTAGTTCAAAATGTGCAAAAAATACCTGACCTTAGAACTGCAAGCACTACTCTAAGAGATTTAGGATGAAAGTCTGCAACAAACAAAAAAAAGAAAGAAGAAACAAAATATTTTTGGTGTTTTTGAATTTTTGAAAAACAAAAAAAATCTTTTTGGAATTTTTGATTTTTCGAAAAAGAAAAAAATATAGTTGTTGCAAACATGCTAATGTTAGACACTCATTAAAAAAATGACAAATATACGAATTCGAAGGATTCGAACAGTTGACTATGTGCAGTATCCTTTGAATACTTAACGAAATTCCTTTGTCTTTGATGACGTGCATACGAACCATTCCTTTTTGACCATCATCCACCTTTTTTGCATGGAACTGAATTTACATTGATCATTCCAAGTCCTTCCAAATTTTGTACAAAAGACATTTCATCTAAAGGTTTGGTGAAAATATCAGCTAACTGATGTGTTGTTTTCACAAAATGCACATCAATATTTCCATCTTCCACATGATCCTTGATGAAATGATAATGAAGAGCAATATGTTTAGTCTTCGTATGCTGCATAGGATTATGACAAATCCTTATGGCACTTTGAGAATCACAATATAATGGAATCTTTTTTCATATTAATTGC